TGCTTGTTGCAATGAAATTTTCGTTTCATTCCGCCGGGAAACTTCGTGACTTTGCGTCATATTCCTCCACTAAAGTATTTCTAAAGGTTAACACGAATATATTTTTTTCACGAAAAACTAATTCCGAGATTTCCATAAACTTGATTTTGAGCCTTGTTCAAAAAGTTTGTTGTAACAATATTTTGTTGGATGTGATTCACAAAGAAGGAACACTCGCGTTTTGCTGAAGTATTACAAATAAATCGTAGTTGAATATTTTTTAAATAAATAAAAAACAAATTTAAATAAATATATGTTTAGAATTTTTTTAGGTACAGGAGAGCCTCGATTTTTTTGATTCAACACGATCCCCTGAACAAAAAACGAAAAAAGGGAATTAAATTTTCTCACTATCGAAACATTTCTTCGGAGACAATTTTTGTCGTTTCATTGCTTCTATGGCTGGAACTTGCGTTATCATGACAGAAAAAAACACCGAAATATTTTATTGAATTACTGTGATTTACTTGGAAGTTGGAAGTGAACCAGGTTCAGTCAATATCCGGTAGCACAAAGAACCGATTGGAATAAAATCAGTTCCCAGTTTTCGCCCAAACGAAAATACCCTTGATGATACAGCAGTAATTTCAAGGAATTTAACTGACTCAAATGAGGACATTAGCCCAGTTGACACATGAAATGAGTTTACGGATGATGATTCGCGATTATTTTCACGTTCCGCAAAAAAAGGTGAAGATAAATGCAAAGTAAAAGTTAAGTTTCTTGTGAAGTCTTCACGAGACATTATTGCACTTCAGAAACTGGAATTTCTGAGATATTTATTTTTTTAATGCACAGCATTCGAGAAATAATACTTGAAAATAGTTACTTCATCATTTAAAAAAACATGATTTTCCTAAAGCAAGAAAACTTTTGCGACGCGATCATAAAAATGACTAGTTTCATGTACAGTATTATTTATTTTACACTACTTTTGAAATATAGAAGAGAAGGTTGAAAATGACATTCATACCATACCGATATTTTCTATAAAATTACTGCTCACTAATTTCACATGAATATTTATTAATGATTAACCTGCACAGATCAGAGGTCATATTCCAAAAAAATTCAAAGTCAACATTTTTGAGTCTCTTCAAATTTGAATCAGAGAGGTTCCACTGTTTTACTGCAGGATTAATCTCTTTCATACACACAAATTGCATTCATCATAGAAACAAATCTTCCAACAACAGAATCAAGATTAATGACCATAACTTGACATTGCACTTCAGTTACCCAAAAAATATCAACAATACACTAACAATTGACAAATAACTTCCACCAAAGTTACTTACAATGAAATGGAAAGGGGATACAATAATAATATTCAGCAGTAATAATATTTAACATGAAGAGTAATAATATTCAGCAGTTCTGGGATGTTTTTCCAAGCTGTGGTGCTTTGATTTGACCTAAGGGCTCCATGATGAAATCCTGTAGGATAAAAAAAATCCCATGGCCCAAAAAACCCTTAGGCCTGAAAATCTCACAGGGTCCAAAAATCCCACAGGTACAAAAATCCCAAATACTACACAATTGTTAAATTGTGTCTGGGCTTTCCTTCAAACTGTCTGGAAGGAATATAAATCTGGTGGATTATGAAATTGTTCAAGTGCAAGGGTTTTAATTCCTTCCAATTGGGAGGTTTAGCAATTACCTATCTCAAAATAACCTCCCCTTCACTTCCTCAAAAGCCTGGGAAAGATGTTTCCTTCATTTGGAGCCTTCATCCCTGCCATTTTTTAAAAAAGATATTAACTGTGCACTTTTCAATGAATTTTTGCAGCTTAACTTTGCCTTCTGAAGTAATAAACTTGTACCAATCTGTGTGGAAATCTTGCAGAGTTGAAAGCTTGCTGGATTTTTTATTTTTATTTCTATATTCTCTTCCGTGGCGGACCAAAGCGATGTAGCTCCAGCATCCGGCCAAAACCGGACCCCAAAACTTGTAAGATTTCCAAGGCCTGTGAGCCTTGCAAAAATCCTGTTTTTGAGAGACTCACTGAGCCTCACTCAAGGACAAGAAGTGGTTTTCACTTCTTTGATTTGGCCTGAATTGGCCAATCCTGAGCCAGGAAGAAATCACCTGATTTCTTCCTGACCCAGTCAAAGCACCTGGGTATAAAACCCCTCATGCCTCTTTGAGAGGAGAAGTCAAGAAGTCAGAACCTAATGTTAAAGGGCCTTTTAACTTTAAATTACCTCAATCAATATTCTGAGCTAACAAATAACTCTGCCATCACAAGATTGAATTAACAGCTGATTGATGAACTGGGCAATGAATGTGAACTCCTCTGAAAAGAGTTTGAGTTCTTATTCAAAGCTTGCATTCTGATGGCTGCACAATTCAATTCCTTTGTCTGGGATCCAATGGACCCATGACATCTTCATCATGTACCGTACTGCATATTGAGTATTAAGGATTGAAAATGAAATATCACTGTTGCCGGTTGACTAGATGTTGCCCAACACAGACTGCACACTGCAAGTTGACTATATGTTGCTTACAGCTGTGCCATGTTTCACAGAACATAAAAGAACACAACAGAGCAAACATTACATAACATTAAAAAACATTCCATGAAGATAAACCTTCATGAAATATTCTACACTTTAAATTTCATTTAAACCAATACTTCGTTGCTGTGATCTTAAAGACCCCTGAGAATCACTATCAAACTGCATTTAGATTTCTTTGATAATATATAAATTGTTTACATACCATTGCCTTATGAAGTTATCCAACAAGGTTTTTCTGATGATTCATGTTTCAGAATTTTTGTTCCTATGGGATCATTGGGCAAATGGGATTTTTGGGCTGCAGGATTTTTTCTCTCACAGGATTTTCTCCTGCACCCATTTGACCAAAGGTAACCAAAATGGCACTAGGACAGAGTGGCCAAAGTTGGGAAATATTTGAATAGGCCAGGGAAGGGAAATTGGCAAAGACCAGCAGCAGACTCCCAAGTTGATCCATATGGCTGAAGGTTTAAAAAATCCCCAGCCTTGGGGTATATATTCTTTTTTTTTTGCTCTCTCAAAATTTTTTTTGCACACATAGAAATAGAAAAAGAAAATGTGGATATCTCCCAACTTGGGCAAAATTGGCCAGTGCAATATTTTTTTCAATTTAAAATTGTCAATAGTGAGAAATTCCTGCAAAACAACCCATCACCACCACTGAAGGTGTACTAAATACAAAATTGGTTCAAAAATTTTGAAAATGTTTGAAATAGATCCAACAGAGTTTCAACAGTTCCAAAATTTTTTTTTTACCTGCATTTAGCCTCATCATTTGGCAACATTTCTGTGGTGTTTAATGCAGTCTCTGCTGACTTCAATGCATCTGTTCATGCAATAAGCCCAATGATTGAAACAGAGCCAAAAATTGAGTTTGCTGAGCTTTTGAATTTATTCTTGTGATTCATTTGAAATACATGTTTCAATCTTTTAACCCTTCTGCGGCAAAAGGTTCTTTCCCATCCCTGGACTAAGTTGGGATTTTCTCAGATGAGCTCACATTTCATTTTTCTTGAAGGTCATGATAGCCAAGCCAGGTGGCCTGGGGAAGAGTTGGACTTTGTGTGGCAAAAAGGTGTAGCTAACATTTCCAAAAGTTAGACTTTTTCTGCTTATCTTTTTTGTCCCTGAATGGTAATCCTTCTTCATGCACCCAAAATTCAAAGGGTTGAGAATCTGAAAAGAATGCAACTAATCCAGAGAGAGTCTAAAAAAAAAGCTCAACCTTGGTGAGCTTGGGGGGGGGGGGGGTTTCTGTGGACCTAAAGATATACACCAGGATTTGGCCCAACTTTCCCTGGGTGAACTGTTATTCATTTTTATTTAAATCTCTCCACACAGATAGGCAATTTTGCAGAAAAAGTTCATCTTTGCTGCCCGAGGGTTAACTTTGAATTTCTAATGGGAATTTCTGGCCCTGTCTCAGGCAGATTGTTGGGTTTTTTATTCTTATAGATATGGCTCAAACATCAACCTATATTGAGGCAACAATTGTCCCCAATTGTAATACATTAATAAACTCAATATAAAGATTGGATCATAGCGCAGTGGGAAAATTATATGAAATTATAAGGCAGTGCAATCAGCCTCTTAGGCAAAGAACACATATCCCTAGTTTTGTAGTTCATTCTTTTTCATTATTAGATGACCAAAATCTGGAATTAAATACCATACAAGAAATCACGATACCAAATTTGTGCACAAACTGGATTGAGAAGACAATGGGATAATAATGATAATTCACCAAAAATACTGCATGTGTAATGAGAGAATAATGCTGAAGTACTGTATTTACTCAAGTACTGAGTGCCCTTGAGTGAGGCTTGCACAGGGGTTTTTCAGTTGGAAATTTTGCTAAAACCATATCCCCTAGTAAGACGCGCACCCCAATTTTAGAGAATCTAAATCCACAAAATTTTGAAAATAACAGCAACAAAATTGACTTTAGACATGAATTGAATGAAAATCTGATCAATTATCAAATTTTCCAGCATAAACAAGTTTTCTTGGTACATTTGTTCCAAATTTCTCCATTATATAATTAAGTATAATGCACACATAATTTCCTAAAACTTTTTGAAAAATTTTTACCTGCCTATGACGTGCACCCCTTCTTTTTCTTTTGAAATTTGAGAAAAAAGGTGCACTTGGTACTCAAGTAAATATGGTACTTCATATGCAAGAGAAAAACCTTCACTGGTTTCCCCCCTTGGACCCAAGTTCTTGTTTGCCCAACACCAATAATAATGCATGGGGTAGATATTTTAACACGTTTTTATTAACTTGCTTTCTTGTCCATTTGTTTGTCTGGATCAAATTTTGCAACTCAAATTTTGCTCATTTTTTCAAAACGTGGTTTTTTAGATTAATTTTTTAATCTACTAAATTTTTATTTGTTTGTTTGTTTGTTGGTATCTGTCTCATCACAAATCACTCACCCCTCGTGCATGAGAGCAAACCGCATGCCCTTGTCATAGACCAGCTCCAGCAGGGCCACCATCCTCAGGGAGCCGCAAATGGAAAAGACGGCCAGGCCGGTGTTCCAGGCCACCAGGGCGTTGCGCAAGTCAAACGGCTTGCCCCTGGCCTTCATGAGCCGCATGCCCAGCGCCACGGACGCCAAGTACAGCGCCACCGACACCCAGGGCAGCCACCAGAACTTGACCACATACACCAGCGCCGCCGTGCAAGTGAATTCCCCTTCAAACTTGGACACCAGGTACACTGGCGGCTTTGCTGGGCACTGCGCCGCCGCCGCCGCCGTCGCCATCAATTCCTCAGTCACGTTCATCTTTTTTTTTTAATATCTCTCTGGCTTTTGCTGCGGATTTGCTCAGGGAAATTTATTTTTTCTTGATGATTATTTTATTCGTGGTCTTCCTCTTGTTTGATGTCAAGAGGAAATTGTATTTTTTTTATTTTCCTTTGCAGAAAAAGGTTTTTTTTTTCGCGAGCGACGACGCGTCACCGATGCACACACACACTATGTGCTCGCTCGAACGGGAGCGCACGTCGTCGGAGCACCACTAGCAACTATTCTGAGGAGATAAAAAAAAAGGAAGAAGAAAATCAATCAAAGGCAAGGAAAAAATAATAATTGTATTGGGTTTTGATTGTTGGGCATGCACGCCGTGTACAGTAAGTAATGTACTCTAAAATAATTCCTGGAATTAAAAGTATTTCCCCCTTCTCAAAATCGCAGTGCCAGGAACATTCTGGCACAGCAGCATCTTTGACAACAACTTTTTTCTATTCTGATTGTAAAGTCAAACCTTGTGAAGGTTAATTACTAATTGTCATATCTATAAGGAGCACTTTTCTTAGATCATCAGATTCATTTCAACTGTGTTTTTCAAGTCATCAACAAAATCAGTTGAAAAATTTCATACAATTCCGAAATTCTGCATTTTTGGGCGTTGCTTTCAGCGATTACTTTCAATCTCATTTTTAGAAACTTCTCAAGCATATTTTGAGGCGGAAATGGAACGTTGACAATATCGTATCACCTTAGAAAAGAAAAAACTAATGCATACATTTCTGCGCAGGACAATTTTTATACTGAAGTGAAATCCAAAAAGCATTCAAATTTTAATTGTTTTTCCTTTTGACACTCGCATATGAGTCCAACAAGTTTAGAAAAAACGAGGACGAAGCATCCGAACAACCGTGAAAATATAAACCCCGCACTTGACACCTGTGGCAAGTCATCTGTACGTCTTTTCTGTTATTTTCAATTACTTTTTTTTAAATAAATATATTCAAATTTATGCACTTGCCGACAACGAATGAATTTCAACCACTGTATATGTAAGTATCACGAATCTCGCACTTGGCTCGACACGATTTTGGGTCAAGTTTCTAATTGCAATATAGCTTCACTGGAATTCAGATACACCAGCAACTTTTTTCCATCTTGAATTTTTAATTTTAAGAAAGAAAAAAAAAAGAGAACAGCCTACTTCGAAAGGGATCTCTGACCATTCCAACAAATTTTCTGGCTGCCTTCTTGAAAAATCTCCGCCTTTTCTTTTCGAGAAATATTCTGCGAGAAATTTCACAAAAAAAATTAATTGTGTAATTAATGGGATACACAAAATCCATGTTATCGAAAAGTACCGCAAAAAGATGTGTTTACAATTTTTTTCACGCGTCAAAAGGGATTTCGAGTGAGATGAACGATTTTTTCGTTCATGCTTTCGAGGAAAATTAGCATGAAATGATTGAATATTGCTTCTTGAAATTAATCAAGCTGAATCACGATGAAAATTCCACGATAGCTCGAAAATATATTTTTCCGACTGTTCTGTGAAATGATTTCACGTCAAATGAAACTATCAGAACAATTTTACATCACATGATTCCACGAAGAAAAAAAAAAAGCCTTCAAAATAATTGGACCCCCGCTTATAGTTTCCAGGACGCAATTTTTGGCAAAGAAAATAATCATACGTAACTCAAAAATTATTTCAATTCCTTACAAGAACAAAATTGTTGCCTATCGAAGGTCGGATGCACGTAAAAATCACAAAATTTATAAAAAATCCCTGCACCTCGAACATCACTTCAGACAACATATTTCCAAAAAAAGATTGTTCGAACCATGATGAAATCACAATGTTACGCAGTTGAGCGTAGAAATCACTGTCGAACTTCGACTAATCCTCAGAATTCTTCAAGGCTGAATTTCTCACTGCATTCTTCGGGTTTACCTGAAGACAAGAATCATAGTCCAGCATCATCTTTGTTATGGATCGAACGGTAACCTTTTCTTTTTATTCGTGGAATATAGTGGATTGGGTCATCATAAGCCGCATTGAAAATCCCAAGGTCCTTCGAAAACAATGCAAACCCTCTTTTATGAAAAAAACAAAATAAATTCCTAACCGAACAAAAGGTCAGCAACTTATTTCTCCACGAAAAAGCAAAGGAAAATCCGCGAATCTTTTCGTGTTTAAATTTCAAGAATACTGGGGATCAGTATTTTGAAAAAAAAAAAGCTTGACGAAGATATATGAAGGGAATAAATAAGAAGCCTTTCTTAATAAAAAATTAAATAGTGTAATTCATAGACCTCAAAAATCCTTTTAAAAAATCATGAATAAGTCGGAAAATCACTTGTAAAAAAAAATATCAGGATTAAGTAAAAATGTTGTATTTTATTGAATTTCGAGGACAAATAATCTTCCTCAATTTAAAATTACAGATAATTTGATACCAGGAATTCAAGGAAATTTTTTGAAACTTGAATGTATAATTTTATATCAAGCATCACAATATAAAAAGGTATCTAGGAAAAACGCAAAATGTACCCCTCGAAATCTCTGCTGTTCAATATTCGAAAAAAGAATGATTTCATTTTCAAAACTATAGTTTTAAAAAATTCCAAGTCTTCACAAACACACAGAGCCACTAGTATATCGCGCAAATTGAAGAAAAAAACAGAAAAATTCATATAGAACTGCAATAATTGAAATTTAAAAACCCCTTACAATTTTTCCAGACGAATAAAACACGCGTCTATGACGAAAAAAAAAAAAGCGGTCAGTTTGAAGATTAAATTTGAAAAACAGCTGTTCACAAATAACCCAGGCATGAACTTGAGACAAAAAAAATCTGATTTTCAAAGGAAGAAACACTTTTTTAAAAATCAGTGGTATATAAAATCAGACAAGGAACTAAAATTCGAGGCTTAGAATAAATTTAAAAGTCACAACTCCCGATGAGTTCGTGAACCTCTGCTCCAAAGCCGAGCTGTTCACGTACTGACCCAAGAATCTCGTATTATTCACCTCCGAATTCCCTCCAACAATCCCACGAAAAAAAAGAACGCGCGTAAAAAATTTAAATAAATAAAAGAATAATACCCTAATAAAAAAACGAAAAAGTATGTTTCATATTAAAGCCTTTTTTACCCCCCCCCCCCCCCTTTTACTTTATCGAGTCACGTTGAATCCACAAAGATTTAATTTCATAATCGAAGGTTAAACGTATATTTGTTTTTTTCTGAACTTCGTTACAATTTTTGTGCACTCAGGTAGAAAAAAAAAATCGAGAGAAAATTTTCCTTACAAATCTCCGGACTTCGTTTATACCACAGGAAATCACAAACAATGAAAACTAGAAAAAACTTTTTTTCAAAACCAAGATTCATTATAAGAACATCGTTTCAAGGTTTACGGAAAAAATTTGTAATTCTCAAGAAATGTAATACCGTATTTTAAAAAATATTTCAAATTTCGTTGGCGAACACTTTCCACGATTCTCACAAAATTTGACATATACCGTAATTTCGCAGAGTCAAAATCAAATTTTTGGAGTAAAAAAAAAACGGTTTCAAATTTTTGAAATACAGAATGTGTTCCGAATAAATCTTCAAATAGGTGTTCTTTGCAAATCTTCCTGTTCGACTCAGACGGGTTTCAAATTTCTCTTACCTTATTGTAGAAACTAATGTACTCAAATATATAAAACCTCTTTTCAAGGAACTAAAAAAAAAAACATTTAAAATCATCCCTTTTTTCACTTCCTCACAAAAAATTCCAACTATTTTTCTGATAATCAAAAAATCCGAAAAAGAATTGTCGTTTCAATATCAAATCTTGTGAGAATTAGAACTTGTTTCAATTTTTTTTATACGAAAATTAATTCTGAATACAGTAATTGTTCTCTGCAAGTCTTCTCATTCAACTTACTTAGGTTTTTTTTTCCGAGAGGCTTGAGGTCGTAAAATACACAAAATATTCACGAACTCCTGATCTTAAATTTACTATAAATCTTTTTTTGAAGCAGACATTTTTTTGGCATCGAGATCCACTCAAGTCTGTTCAATTTTCATTTTCTCGCCAAATTCTCGTTTTTCCAGTGATATTCTGCGCTGATGAATCGACTTTTTTCACGAGTTTCAAATTTCTCTGGACTCGCAGAAAAACCCGGGTACTCAAATATAAAAACTCTTTCCAAGGTTCAGCACTTGAAAAAAAAATTAAGAAACCCTCTCTGTTTCACTCTCTCTCTCTCTCTCTCTCTCTCTCTCTCTCTCGTACAAGACAGTTAAGAGGAAATCACCAACAGAACCGGAAACTGAAGGGACTCGATTTCCGATCTCTGTCTCTCAGTCTACTTCCTCCAGCCCCGCCGCCGAACCTGACACACTTTGCGCCAACTCGAAGGTCACTGAGGCAATAAACTAGCCCTCCATCCTCCTTCCTTCGGTCTAGAAAAAAAAAAACATTTCAGAAACAAAACAAAAAATGGCCTTTTCCCGGCCACTTGCATAACAGCAGAGAGCCACGAGGACGGAAAGAGAGGCACTAAAAGAAAGAAGCAAAAATGAACATTAAGAAAAGAAAAAAAGGAAACAAGACGGGGCTGGTCGGGAAAAGAATGTGAAAGCGGAACAAGTTGCAACACCTTGGCTATTGCGGAGCCAACTGCAGTCGCGGCCGCCACCAGCGGCGGCGGCGGCGGCGGCCAGCAGGAGCAAAAAAAAAACGGCGGCGGTGGCTCGCATTGAACACCTAGCCCTTCGGCTTCTATATATGTACAGTATCATCACTATAAAAAAATCCGAGACGCCCGTTATATTGTGGGCTACAACATTTGTTTTGTTTTGTTTATAACCTGATTATCTGCACTAGCAAGTTAAAATTGATAAGATTGATTAAACCTGTCTTGATTGTCCCAAGCTCCTGGAATATTTCCACCCCAGAAGCATTGGGCAGAGTTTGAAAATCAGCTGCGTGGGGTTTCTTGTTTTAACGAAATTGACAAATTGATGAAAATGAAACAACT